TGATGATGATGATGATGATGATGATGATGATGATTATAGTATTAATTATTAGAATTCATTTTCATTGTTTTGATTGCGGAGAATAATCGCTTTCAAATGAAAATTAAAGAATTATTAAATAATTTAATTCATTTTCTTTTTAGACTTTTTTCTGTAATTCTATCAATACTTGATAATGGATATAGATAAACATAAATCACTTCCATCTAAGCATCTCGATCTACAAGGTGGCTTATCTGAAAAGAAGAATAAGAAATCTCGTGGCAATCGAAAAGCACAACATTTACGAAGAAGAATGCGTCGTCAACAACAAAAGATGGATCAGGATACTACCATCATACAAAATGAAAATAATGATCTAAATGATGAACAAGAACCTATTCAAGTATATTAATAACTATTTCCTGATATACATTTTGTTTTTATCTATTGTAGAATTATTTATTAAATAAACGTAAACGACAAAGTAGAAATCGAGATGATGTACATATGAGTCAATCGTTCAGTGAATTATCAATATCACAAAGAAATATAAAAAAGAGAAAATCGATAACAAGAAATAATCAGAAAGATGACGATGACAATGATGAATCATTATCAATAAATTCCATACAAAGATTTAAACCACATTATTTAAGAGTTTCCGATAAAATATTCAAACAAATGTTATCAAATGCCATCAAAGATGATCATAAAACTATTCACTCTATAGATACAAAGGAAAAAATTCAATTTCTTCGTGAAATGACTGAACTAACAAATAATTTATATTATTTTGATTTACAACGACAATTATGGCAAGAATATCATAATATGAGTTTGAAAGAAGATAATATACAGGGACTACGACAATTATCGAAATCCGATGCTAAAGAACTTAATACACGTTATATGTGCGGTTTTCCAAAACATGTTATTGAAAAACGTCAGAACACAATTGTACATCAAATACAACGTACAATAAATGAACTAAATCAATATCTCATACAATTAAATACATGGACAACACAATGTCAATCACCAATCGATCCAAATATTTTATCAAATGCAATTAATGAATGTGTAAAAAAGGGTCAACAACGATTAAAACAAGAATTTGATTATAAAAAGAAAATGTTAGAGTTAAACTCATATGATCATCATTTAATTAATAGAGTTTATGAATTGCAGCCAACTGAAGAACAAGTTCGTATAAATAAATAAATAAAAACAATAGGAGAAATATTATTTTATTCATATGTTTTTAAATTTTAGTTACAGTTGGCAAAAATGATATGGCAAGTAACAGCAGACGAATTAAAAATAAAAGAAAAACAAGAAATCCTTCGGAAACAAATTTACTTACAACGGTTACCAGTTAATATTGACAATATTATTGATCAATCTATTGATCATGTTCAACCTATGCTATCAAATCCGCTTCTTGAAAAAGATCGACGTGCAGGTTTAATATCAAAGTATTCAAAAACAATTACACAATATAAATTTGATTTAATGACTTTAAATTTAACTACATTTCAAAATATAATCTATGGTCATCAACAAATACTTATTGGTTTACAAGAAGAACTATTAAAATCATGTAATGAAGCATTAAGACAAGCAATTGAAAATCGTGAAGAAGCAATGAAGAAACGTGATGAAATATATTTAAAACATAAATTGAATACTTTTTTCGACGAAGCTCCGGCGACAACAGTATCAAACGAATGAAGAAGCACTTTCGTTTTTGTCGTCGGAGCAATATTTTTATTTATACAAAAATATCTGCTTCCTTACCATTTATTGAAGTCGATTTAAATCTAACACTACAACAAATGACAATGTTTATTAATGGTCTCAAATATATCGTACCATGTCAAAGTCGATTTAGCCATAAACCGATTGATGACATTATTACTGAACAATATAAAAATGTATCTACAATTGTAAAGGATTGCTTACAAGACAATAGAATTTCAACTACAGATCAACGAGCTAACCAAGCATTTCAGGCACTAGAACATATTTTTCATGAATACCAATCTAAAAATGTACCAAAAAAATTAAAAACTCGTGCTCAACGTGAATATAAAATAGTTCAATATGTTCAACGTCTGATACATCAACGATCAGATATTGTTATACGTCGAACGGATAAGAGTAAAGTATTTTATATTGGCAAAGCAGCTGATTTTGAACGCAAAGCAGAAGATTATATGTTAAAAACTGAAGCTTACGAAGAAATTAAAAATGGTCGTTGTCCTTTATCCGATAACTTGTATGCCGTACAAACTCTACTTGATTATCTTGTAATGAAAAAGGCTTTAACAAGAAAACAATCTAATCGATTAACTCCAAAATTAAATAATTTAGAATTAGGTCATTATCATGGTATACCTAAACCACATAAAGTAAATTTATGTCAATCAATATATTAATATTTATACATTTATTCTTTTCTTTTCTTACAGCCTGAAACACCATTACGACCTATAGTAGCCAGTATACATGCACCTGCAACATTGGTGTCGAAGTTTTTGAACGAACTTTTAGCACCAATCTATTTGAAAGTTAATCGTAAATATACATTTATTAATGATATAGATGTTATTCGACAACTAGAAAAATATGCTGCAGATGGTTATCTTACATCAAGAACAAAATTTATTACTATCGATGTTGAAAATCTTTATACAATGATACCAAGAGATGGTGCATTAACAGCGTTAGCTCGATTTTGTGTTAAATATTGTTATCAAGGCAAAATTGGCACATTTACAATTGATCATATAATGAAAATGGCTCGTTTGATTTTGGATACAAACTGTTTTGCTTATAATAATAAATATTATAAACAAATTCGTGGTGGAGCTATGGGTTCAGCATTTACACAAGTATTAGCAAATATATATCTAATGGAATGGGAACAAGATTTAATTGAACATCAAATACAACATTATGAAGTCTATGGAAGGTTAGTAAACTAGTTGTACTATTCACAAAAACATATAATCTTCTTACTCGTATAGATATATCGATGATATTTTCATGACAACAAATAAATCCATTGATGAAATTAATATTGAACTTGAAAAAGTAAAACACAAAGATATTAATATCAAAATTGAACCTACAATATGCGAATCTGTTCATTATCTTGACGTCATCATTACAAATGAAAATGGTCAATTAAGGACATCTATGTTTCATAAACCAACTGCTGAACCTTATATATTACCATATAAATCAGATCATCCACGTCATATACATCGAAATATTGTCTATGCAACATTATTACGTGCTACTCGTATCTGCTCACATGTGAATGATTTTAATTCAGCATGTGTTCGTATTGATCTTTCACTATTATTAAATGGTTATCCACCACACTTTATTACACAACAAGTCAATCGATTCTTTTATTTAAACAATGCAGTGCCTGTATTAAAACAATTCAATGAATACGTATACTCTCATCTACATCACAAACTATTATATCAACCAACACTTCGTGAGAAAAAACTTCAAGTAATGATGGAAGATCCAATTAAAACACCATTGGTATTACAGCCGAAAATATGGAACAAAGAAATAATGTATCCACGTTATTTATTCGATACTTCATTGACAATCAACTTCCGACAAGAATTCACAAATTGGTGGAAAACATATTATGCATTTTCCAGATCACCACTTGAACAAATTAAAGTACGACTAATTCCTATTACTGGTCGTACACTTGAAACTTTTTTCATACATAAAAAACCTTCACGAGCAATGTTAACCAAAATGGAACCAAGATCTTGAACAACAGAACATCACAATATCTTACAAAACACAAATACAAGTTTTTTTTAATATCATCTTGAATTTTAACACTAATTTTATGTAAAAAAAACAAATTCACTTCTAGTTTGTCATTTTCTTTGGAAAAAC